ATTGCAGTAAGACATGGTTGCGGTGTGTTTGTGAAGCGAGGGGACAAAAGAACAGCCAGACAGGGCAACACCGATTCGCAAAAACTGCTCTAAGCTTGGCAACAGGCCAACAAGTTGCTAGCACAGCCCACTTCAGAAGAAAGACCGCCAGTTGCGCTGGTCCTTGGACACGCTCTGATTTGATCTTCCTGCAAGTCTGCATACTTTTGCAGTTACTAGGCGTATTCAAGCATTCAATTACTTCCTTGCCAATCCGAGAGGGTGAGTGTGCCTGCAGTGCTCCGTGATGCGGTGGCCAATAGCTCCAGTGTGGTCCGAACCTGGTTCGTTTGCTACTCCTAAACTGTGGTGGTCCACTGAGCTTCCTCCTTTCTATCGCTGCACTGTCAGTGTCAGACTTGCCGACCCTCCCCATGGCAGTTCGACAGCGCGAAGCAAGATTGAAAGGGCTGCTTGTGATTTACAGAATTGGGAGAAGCGTGTTTTTGAGCACTACTACTTGTCCAGATCTCGCGACTTTGCCTCCTTTGTGCGTGCATGTGCGTGTGGGTGTTTGTGTGTTCGTGTAGGAGATGAAGCAATCCAACGTAGTTGCTTCAGAAGACATTTCCGCCTCCTTGCGGAAGCCTACTTCCTGCACCACCAGATTCCCTTTCTTTTCATTGCAACAAAACGAGCAGCGAACTGAACTGCCTGCATTCTTCTGCCATTTTCACCCTGTGAGTTTCTTGTGTGCACGGCTGGGTTCTGGCCTTTTGGGAATTCACGGCGATTTCTCGAAGCGTCAAGGTATACTATTCTGATCGACTCAGCCTTTTAGACAAAATCACACTCATTGCATGTTTCCTTAAGTTCTTCCTAGAACTTCAAGCGGCCCATAAAGGTGGGCAATTGAGTGCTAGTAGGTTGGAGGCCATCGCTATTAGGTCGGAGGCCATCGCTAGTAACTAGTAGGTTGGAGGCCATCGCTCTTGGAGTCGCAGGTGACCTTTTTAAGTTGAGGTGGAGAATGACTCAGTCAAGCTTGCTTGCTTGACAACGTCTCTCAACATTCAACGGGAAAAGCACTGTAATTACCAAAGGACAACTCATGCCAACAGAGGTGCAAGAAAATAACGATTGTATTCAAAGTGCATTGGACGTTTCACATGCCCTAAACATGAGCTTATTCGGCACACATATCGCCCGCTTGTGTGGCCAGCGCGGCCTTTCGCTGTGGATGCCCGGCACAATTCGATTGGCTTTTGGCACGGTCGCCGCCATGCGCGACATGGTGCACCCTGCGCTTTGCCATGCTGAAAGGGGGTGCCATCAACCTTCTTACGCGGGACTGTAGGGCCTTCAACTGCAGGTTTGCTGACAGATTCTGGCCACAGCCTGTTCGAAAAGACACCTGCGGCTCCTAAGCAAGTTGCCTAAGTCAAAGGCGCATTGGTGCGAATGGTGTTGGGGGCACGCTCGGGCAGAGGCGGAAGGTGGAAGGCGCCGGCGCAGGTGTCGGAGCAAAAGGCCTCGGTACAGGCTTTGCTTTTTTGCACTTGTGCTGACATGCGGTCATGGAACATGTTGCAAAATCGGCAGCAGCTGCGTGACGTGAGTAGGCACAGCGGCGCAGCGACGAAACTCCTTGACAACGCCCACCCACCCGACGGCCTCAGAGTCGCCAAGTTCCTACAGTGCTACAGCCCCTCGCATCCACTCTCCTTTGCTTTGTGCCAGCACCGCTTCTCGCCGCTTCGCCCTGCGTCACTGGTTTGCCTTGCTTGTTTTTGAAACACATGAAAAAAATGCGAGTAGGGAGACGATTGAGCAGGAACCACACCGCGGTGCATCAAAGAGGAGGGACCCCAACGTGTTCGGTCACCGAAAAAGGAAAGGGACACGAAGAACGTGCGAGGGGAGAGGTGCACCATGTGTAGAACGATCGTGTGATTCCCAACCTAGCTAGCTAGATCATGCTAGATCTAGCTAGCCTAAATTGCTACCCCCGGGGGCGCTCTCTCTCTCTCTCTCTACCTTTCTTGCGTTTCATGCCGCCAAATGTGCAACAGTTACTCGGATGGCAGCTTTCCAGGCGACCATGACGATTCACCATGGGAGAAGCACCAAGTCAATGCCGCTGCGTTTGTTGGTGGTCGCCACCCAAGTTGCTTTGTTCATGGTGACATACGTTGTCGCCTGTTGCTTGGTCTTCCTTTTGTCAGACCTGATGTGACAAATCCACTCTCTTGAGATGTAGAAGTCGATAATGGACGGCTTTGACCTCAGTTTGCCCGAAGTCTTCGTGTCAGTTCTCTGTAGGGCTCTTCTGAAAAACGAAATCGTTGCTGTTGAACTCTCAGCGCATAGGTCAAGTAGACAATGAACATCTGTCAAAACCATCACCAGGTTCCTGATCGTGATGCAGTCGTCGTTTGTGTGCTGCTAGCTGCTAGCTAGGATCACGCTCAAAATCTTCTGGATCGTTTTCTGTATCACCTCTGTTTGGATGGTTTCAATGGTTTCAAGCTCTTTTCCTTTCTGGTGCCCCATGGAAATTAAACTGATCAATTTTTTCGTCTCTCCTGTGAAAGCTTCTTGGTGTTGAGATCTGCTGGGTTGATCGCTGTTGGAAGTCTCAAAAGTCTGACCAGTAGTACGTAGCGTCTTGTTACTAGTAGTAAGGTGCCTTGCTACCAATAGTTTCTAGCTACTAGTCGTAGTGCCAGGAGCTACTAGTAGCTTCTTGTTACTATTCTCTCACTAAATCTTGAATCCACAAATTGCGAATGTGGATGCGTATACTGTTTCAGTTTTCCTTATTGTTTTGCTCCCTACATGATTCCTCGCGCTGCTGAGCTGTCGCTAGGCGCTGCCTTGGGCACTTCTTCCCGAACTAGGCTTCCAACATGCAGCATCTCTGCTATGCCACTGCGGCTCGCATAAAGCTCTCATTCTGCACTTGACAAGGCTATCGAAGATTGCAACTTGCATGATGAAACAAGTAGGCTGCTGTTCAGGAGAACCATGCAGGATGCCGTTGACGTCCGGATCACTTTACATCCTGCCCAATTGGATCCAATTGGCATCTGTGCAAATTTGAAGGTTATAGTTATATGATATATTTTCAATGTTTTCAATTTTTCTTTGTTGTTCGATTCTGGAAGATCCCAATGATCACTTGTGGTGTATGCCAACTTTGTTCCTCCGGCCATGTAGGTTGATAAAGTCTTCAATTATTGTTGGATAATTGATATTTGGCCTGTCTTGTGCGATGTATAGAGCTAGTCCAAGTCCTGATCGGAACATCCGTTGATCTTGCTGCATTCCTTTGGCTTGGTAGGCGCTTGAGTAGTCGCCATCGTTCAGCTCTCAACAATGGGGTGTCAACTTGATCACGATGAGCTAAATTTCTCACCCAGCTTGGGAGATCAGATCATCACCATCAATTCACGTTGCTTCACTACTGAAAGAAAAGCATCCTTGATGTTTGCAACATACAAGGACAAACCAAGGATGTTTCCACAAGTTGGGCAAAACTGATTTTCATCTGTGTTGCCTGTCCCACACTCTCGTACCACAATCCGGCATCTCCTTTTCCACATGCATCTGAATCTCCAGTCGGAAAGACATGTACAGTAGTGCGCAGCAAGAACGCCTCTTCATTTGTTGCTGCTCCACCGGCTGCTGCCAGAACTTCAGAATGTTGTACCCGACTGATCTCCTCTAAAGTTGCTTTCTGGTCCAACTGGCTCAGCTGCTCCTCTTCACGGAATGGCAGGTCACAGGTCCATCACGTTCAGCATGGTCACCACTGGTCTTCGCGGTCCTGTCCATCTCCACTTCCAATTCTGGATGATGCTCAGGATCGAACGTCCATGCTTCCAGCCGGTCAATCTGCTCGTCAACGTGCATGACCTCATCATGATTGTCCTCCACCATGTTTTTGTTTCCTGCCCAAGTCGGTGAATGCAGCTCTTGCCTCTTAGGTCTCTCAGCAGTTTCCTCACTATGTTCGTAGTGTTTTGGTTGTTGTTCCTCCTTGCTTTCAACGTCTGTTTCTTGTCTTCCTTGGAAGTGCTAACGCTCATCGGATCACCATCTGCGCTTCTGGATGTGTCACCGCCTGTTCGTGCTGCCTTCGGAATATGTTCTTCTCTCTCTTCATCATTTGCTGCCCTGCCTGCAATGCTTGGTTCATACTCATGCTCCTCTTCGCTGTCAGGATGGGCCTGATGGTATTCCATCACTATTTTCGCATACTTTCGTTTCTTATATAGCTTCTTTGAAAGGAAAATAATCGGGTGAAGGAAATTCACGAAGCTTTACCTTCATGGTTCCGTGGGTTGCTACTTTCCTCATAGAATCGGGTAGAATGTCCCAACCAAAAGTTCCTTGTCGAACTCCTTCGCACAAAAAATTGAACTGCCCTTGTCCTCACCAAGCGAGAACCTTCAAATGCGACAATGTCTCGATCAACTCCAAATTGTTCCTAACCAAATCAAAGCCATCGTCTCTCATATTTGGACTTGAGTTCATCTACCCCTCACTCTGGGTACCTTGCTTTTCCCAGGTTCTTGAAACATAACTTAGTTATTGCCAGCATGTGACGTAAAAACCTGTCTTTTGACCATAACCTTCATTTTGACCTGAACAAGGTGTGATTGTCCACTTGGATGAGAGAATGCCACCAATTCCAAACATGAACCACTGCCACACTGCCACCAGTGATTCAAGCGGATCAAGTGGTTCAAATCAGTGGGCAAATTGAGCATTTGCCTGGTATCACACAGCAAATCACAAATGAACAGGAGTTCAAACATGTTCAATCAAAAACATGTCCATGCGCCACCAAACTTAAGAGGGTTGCAAGTATTCTCAAGTAGACTCTCTGGCCTGAGAATGCCTGAGACATTCCCACTTCAGCCGGGCTCTCATTTTGTGCCACCGCTTTGGTTTGCCAGCATTCTTTGCTAGCACTCAGAGGCACGCCTTGACTCCTGGCAAGAGCGCTTCTTTGGAGACATTTAGCAGGCTCAAACCCTTGGATCGAGAACAGGTCTCTTTCTGCCCATGCCCAGAAAGCCCCGGGATTCTTTGAACACCCTGGCCCAGCTTTGGGATAGTGCCAAGGATCTACGTGAAGTGGTCCGAAGTGAAAAGAAACTCTTGTTATGTGATGGCCCGGTTTTTCACGCCACTGTCAAGTCTTGCTCTCAAAACTGGGAACCCATCTACGCAGCACTTCATCTGACAAAAGAGCGACTCGTCCTGCAGTAGTATAAACAACTGCTCAGCTTTAGTGTCTTGTGCAAACTGTCTTGGAATATATGTGCGTTGCCCTCATCAGCCCTGCATATAAGGACACTTACTTTGCCAGAGGTCACCCCTTTGATGGCTCAGATTGCCAACTTCTACCGTATGAATGGTTTGCAGCCTGCTGATGACCAAGTCTACCGGGAGGCTTGGGGATTAAAGGCCGCCTGTGGGCTGGTGAAGAGGAAAGGTCGAAGACATGAACTATCAAAGGAAGCATGGATGCACAAAAGCATGAGCATCCATGAAGCCTTACCCACATGATCTCTTTTTGTTGGGTGCGCAGTAGGGTTGGTGCTCGGCCCAAGGACCCGAATTTCCACAAGCTCTTATTGGTGTACTTTCCTGAGCTGGAGGCTGGATCACTGTAATGCAGTGCTGTTCTTAACAAGTTGCCCTGCAAACCCACAGGGGACAATCTCCAACCTGGATCTTAGTGAGCCGGCTGAAGCGGAGGAAAAGGAGGAGGAGTCCCAGGGATACCACGACCGCTTCTCTATTGGTCTACTTGTTGTTTTTTATTGGTCTATATTGGTCTCACTATCTAATGTTTATGTCCGGCTTGTTCATCACAGTTTCGGTGCCGAAGGAGCCTCACGACGAGGACCTGGCCTTGGACCACGAAGAGGACACAGGAGATAGCGTGGACTCTGGACACGGTGCAGAGTTGGAAAACCTTCACCAGGAGATTGCTGAACTCGAGGATCGGGTAAATGCAGTTGAATCAGAAGAGATTGCAGATGCCTGCCACCCAGGGATTGAAAATCAGCTGGGCCTAGATTCCGAAACATCTTCCGCCGTGCCTGCCAGTGCTTCAGGGTCTGTGAAGCCTCTGGAGGAACATCATCCTGAAGTTCCAAGTGGCGCTGTGGAAGGCTGCACTTTGCGCAAGGCTACGCCTCTCAATTCCTCGCTACAAATCGAGGAGATTGAGTCTGATGATGATATTGGCCCAGGAGGCCAGCCACACAGTGGTCTTGTTTTATGCGTGGCTGCCACGCCAAGTTTGCAACCTGAACTTGACAGGTCCGGAGCTCAACGACGCAGACACTGAGATTGCCTGGATCAAAGCAGAACTCCAGAGGCAGGAAATGGAGTCAGTTGTCATGGCAGCCCAATGGGTTCGGCCTGCCAGGCGAGCTCAGAACCTGCCCTCGAGCCACGCTGCTTTGGGAGGCGGGGTGTTTGAATTTGACGAATGCCAACAACTTTAGCTGTGAAGTCACACCAGCCATTGCTTGCTGATCAGGCATGATGGTCGTCGATGATTCTTTGCCTTTCCTTGGGAACATTGACGCCGTGGAGACACAGCCACTTGCGGTGGAGCCTGCGCCGTCCCCCCCAAAGCAACTGCGGATGGAGGTTGGAGTGGGCGCCGACCAGGCTGACGCCAGTGCTGAAGCCAAAACGCTTCCCAAGGCTACCAATGAGCCTGCCTTGAAAGGGTCAGCTTCCGGTTTGGGCGGTCCAAGCAAGCCTTTAGATGAACCCACCACAGTTGCATGACACGGACAAAAGATTTTTTTGGTATCGCTTTGTGGATCTGAACTTAAGTCCCGCCTTGTTCATGATTTCTGCACATCACCCATGACCCTTCCTTCCCAGTTCAGCTATCTAAGGTTCTCAGCCGCCGAGACCAATTGAAGACGCGCGCTACTGCCCAAACCAAAAACAAGAAAAACAAAACAGCTGATGATGCTGACCCAACTGCTGGGCCAGATCGTTCCAAGAAGCAAAAGCGTAAGAGACACGCAACTTCCAAGAAACCCCGTGGACAGAGCACCAAGAAGCCCCGTGGCCGAAGCACCAAGAAGGCTCGTGGCCGGAGCACCAAGCGTGCAGCCTCAAACTCTTCAAAACCTTCCGGGAAGGTGAGAGAGAGTGAAGTGGAGGTTCGTGAGAGTAAAGAGCAAGTTGCCGGTTCCAACGAGGGAACCAGTCGCAAACGCCAGAACAAAAGCAGTAAGCAGAGGGAGACAAAGAGTGGCAGAAACAAGACACCCAAGACAAAAGCAGCAGCAAAGGCTAAGGCTAAGGCAACAGCCAAGGAGAAACCGAAAGCCAGCAAACCCACTGGGCGGGGACGGAGCAAGAAAGACCAAAGTGATCAGGTAGAAAACAATTCGAGCAAACGTGCTCGGAAGTCTTCGAAGAAGTCAGGGAGTGAAGCCGCACCTCCCACCAGTACTGCCACCGCTCCTCCCACCCCGGCTCCTCGAGAACCAGCAGCTGAGGTACTCGAGAATGATTTGCCTCATGATGCCAAGAGCAAGCGGGGACCCAGGGGTAGGAAGGTTGCAACTCCCCAACAGCGACCTCCTCAACCCACTGTTGAAAGTGGAGTGATTCCGGAACTTCTCAGATCTTTCAAAAATGAGCTTTCTCACCACTGGAAGATGGGCAAGACCAATTTGAAGAGGGAAGACTTCCCCCCAAGATCTTATGAGAGATCGGGAATCAATGGGTACTATACACGGGCACGGCCAGCAGTTGGGTTGAGGGTCAAGGGCGCAACTTGGCGGACAAACAGGGAGTTTGCCAACTTTTCCTTCTCATTGAAAGACACATGCAACATTGGTTTGGCAATGGCCTGCGCTGTCGCCACAGCTACTTAACCCTAATTGGGAGGGCAGGGTTTCGTAAGAATGTCCACGGTGGATTTGGACTATGATGGGTGTTCAACAATCAATGCAATCTCTTTTTCTGGCATCTTCCCACAAAAGATCATATGGCATCTTCCCACAAAAGATCATACGCGCGTGCTTTTATTGGGCAAGGACCAAGCTTCACCCTCAGCAAAAATTGTTTAAGAGATCCCCCGACCAACTGGAGTTGTTTGTGTGTTCTGGAGGTCTGGTGTCTGGAACTCTGAGCCCTCGTTTCTTTTACCTCGATCTGGGAAGGTGTTTGGGTCCCGACCCCTCCACAAACAATGGGGGACGCTGAGGCTTCGCACGTTGATGGCCTTGAGGATCCTGTCG